AAGGTGTGCTCTCATGGATAGTCTTAGGCGTGTTGAAGACATTGTTCCACAATCTATTGGTTGTCAGGTAATTATCCTTTAAGGCCCTTTTGCAGTATCTTTTCCTGGTTGGTGGAAATTGCATTACTTGGTCATGATGTTTTATGTACATCACTTAGATGTGTTCTTAACACAGTTTATTGTTGAACTTGTTTCAGATTGAAGACATTGTTAGTGAACTTGAGGGTACTGTGTTCTCACTTGATCCCTTAGAGAAGCAAGTCGGTGATGAAATAATTGCGCTACTCCAGCAAGGGAAAAAGTTCGACAACTGTAATGACAATAATGAGCTGGAATCTTTTCATCAGGCTGCTACCAAACTTGGTATTACCTCTTCCAGAGCAGCTCTTACTGAGAGAAGAGCTTTAAAGAAAATCATCCAAAGAGCCCATGCTGAGGAAGATAAGCGGAAAGAGTCAATTGTAGCTTATATATTACATCTTATGCGAAAGTACTCTAAGCTGTTTAGAAGTGAAATCTCAGATGACAATGATTCACAAGGTTCTGCACCTTGTTCTCCCACTGTACAGGGTTCTATTGAGGATGCTGGGCCCGGTGGCAATGGTCAAGCATTTGATCGACAAATGTCAAATTTTAGTTCTTTTAATTTCAAAAGTTCTTTTAGTTCCAAGCCAAACAATCGGAAATCAGGTCAGATGCCTCTTCCACCTGAAGAATTGAGGTGTCCAATATCGTTGCAACTTATGTATGATCCGGTCATCATCGCTTCTGGTCAGACATATGAAAGGATTTGCATTGAGAAATGGTTCAGTGATGGGCACAATACATGCCCAAAGACTCAACAGAAGCTGTCTCATCTTTCTTTAACCCCCAATTATTGTGTAAAAGGTCTCATTGCTAATTGGTGTGAACAGAATGCAATTTCTGTTCCAGATGGTCCCCCAGAGTCTCTGGACCTCAACTATTGGAGGCTTGCATTTGTGTGTGAGTCCACTGATTCAAAATATATGGGTAGTATTGGCTCTTGCAAGTTGAAGGGTGTCAAGGTGGTTCCTTTAGAGGAGAGTCATACTATAAACGAGGATGTTGGAAATGAAACAGAAGATGTGTCTCCATTAGAGGAAGAGTCCGAGCTTGATGTTTTGGAAAGTTATCAGGATCTTTTAACTGCCTTGAATGAAGAGGAAGACTTCAGGAAGAGGTGCAAGGTAGTGGAGCAAATAAGGCTCTTGCTGAAGAATGATGAGGAAGCCAGAATGTATATGGGTGCTAATGGATTTGTTGAAGCACTTCTACATTTTCTGAGCTCAGCTTTGCGTGAAGCAAGTTCTTTGGCTCAGGAAAGTGGAGCCATGGCTCTCTTCAATCTTGCTGTCAACAATAACAGGTATAGCTTAATGATTACAGATTTTAGAAGAATCAAATGTGATGACTAGTTTTTTGATAATATTTTATCCATTTTAAACTGAAAACTTCAGAGGTCTATTAAGCATCAATGTGTGGTGTCTTCAATAATAAAAACGCGCCTGGGAAAGGGTGAAGTGTGTAATTGTTTACAATGTGCTAATATTTCCTTGAATCATAGGTGTAGAGAATGATGCATTGGCTTTGAACTCTTATTCCTTGGACTAGTATTCTTCATAACATCCTTCACCAGACACAATTAGTTTTCTTTCTTTCATATAATCTTCTGTTGGCTGAATATAGTTATAGATTCATATAGTAGCCTGAATGCTTCTTTTATTGCGTTGAGTGTAGCAACTGGCTTGAAGGATTTAAATACAATCAGTTTAATGGGTAGTTTTTTATTTCTTGGCAATAGTGAGAAGATTTAAGTCAGGGTTACGCAGTATCTGCTTAGATTTCTTCGTGGAAGAGCGGAAAATTGTAGATTTGTCCCTGCAGTAATGGGTGCTTGGACTTTTTATTGAGATTGGGGAGATATTGGATGACTTATAATGATCTGTGTTAGATGTTGATTCTTCATTTATCACTTGGAATGTGTTGAATAGTCTGCGTCTTCTATGCCACATTTCTGAGTAACATGTCACAATTTTTGGTTCTCTTTTATGTTTCTCTAAACCTTGGAAACTTAAGAATAATTTCTATTTCGTTGATTTTTCTTTTCCAGAAACAAGGAAACGATGTTAGCATCAGGGGTAATTTCGTTGCTGGAGGAAATGATCTCCAATCCCAGTTCTCAAGGACCTGCGACAGCCCTCTATCTGAATCTCTCCTGCCTTGAAGAAGCCAAGCCTATTATTGGAACAAGCCCGGCTGTCTCTTTCTTAACCCAGCTCCTTCGAGCAGATGTTGAAACCCAATGCAAACTTGATGCCCTCCACGCCCTGTACAATCTATCGGGTGTTGAGTCAAATATACCGAAACTTATTTCAGGCTGGTATTATCAGTGGTCTCCAATCCCTTCTTGCGGACTCTGGTGACCAAATGTGGACAGAAAAATGTATAGCTGTTTTGATAAACTTGGGATCCAGTAGTTCTGCCAGAGATGAAATGATGTCGAATTCGAGTCTTATCAGTGCCATAGCAACAATTTTGGAGGCTGAACAACCCATTGAGCAGGAGCAAGCTGTCTCATGTCTGTATATGTTGTGTAACGGGAGCGAGAAATGCAGTCAGATGGTCCTCAAGGAAGGGGTGATTCCGGCATTGGTGTCTATTTCCGTCAATGGCACATCAAGAGGAAAAGAGAAGGCTCAGAAGCTGTTAATGCTGTTCCGTGAGCAGAGACAAAGAGACCAAGCACCTCCTGAGCCGGAGGTGCATCTGTCGGTCGAAAATAGCGACAAGCCCATGTCTGTTCCGGAACCAAAGCCGCTATGCAAATCCTTCTCAAGAAGAAAGATGAGCAAACCATTTAGGTTTTTGTGGAAGAGCAAAAGCTATTCTGTTTATCAGTGTTAATTCCCACGGTGCTGTAAATTTCAGTGTTGTATCGTCGTTTTATTCTTTTTGTTTTATTACTTTTGAAAGAGCGGAATGTAATGTACAGGCCCCTTGTAATTTATGGATTTTGTTTCGAATTTGCCTTTGAGGTAGGAAATATGTCTTATGAATATGATTAATTCAAGTGGCAAACTTCCGCATATTTTTGTTAATTTTTTGTCATTGATCTTTTTTAACTCATTAGATTCGACGGTTAGAGATTAAGAGTGTGTGAGAGGGTGTGTGAATAACACCACTCTTTTTTATTGCATGCTATAAAGCATGATCGTTCGCTAATTGAACTCAGAATTTGGCCTTGCACTGGTTAAATAACAATTACAATAATGTTATTCTTACCATGTAATTGTACCGCAATTATATATTAGGTGGCAGTCTGATGTGGCTCTTCACGTCATTTCAATTAATAAGAGCTTTTATTCAATTAAAATCAGTTTAAAAAATCAATAATTAAAAAAAAAAAAAACTGCTTAAATTATGATTGGAGTTGACGAGGAGTTTGGTTCCACTACTCCTCTGGGTTTTACGCGGAGTCTGCTTTCAATTCTTCACCACCACAATCGAAATCAACTTGGTTTTTTAAATGATGGAAAATTTCATGTGTAATTTTTCGGAATTGAATCCTCTCCTGAGCTCAGGATGGGGATCCTCATGAGTAGTTCATCCGGACCGTTCAAACTTGATCTAACGGCTGCAATTATTATAACTTTTAGAAAAGCCTCCTATTTTGAGCCTTTGGATCTAATTTCATCCGTCTGGATAGACTGCTGAGGAACATCCCCATCTTGACTCAGGAGAGGATCCAGTTCCTAGTTTTTCCAGCTGCCGGTATCTCTGAAATTCAGCACCAAAACTCTCAGAATTGGTCCGAAAGTTGTGACATACAACGATCTCTAACATAACAAAATTCCACTTTGTTTCAAATTTTATATTACAACAGACCCAATTGTTCTTTGAATCTCGGGAACATTTTGACCGAATGTAAGCATCATATTTTAGAACTTGGGTAATGATTGCAGAAGCTAATTAAAGTAAAGTTATGGTCTTTAAAGTGAAGGATTCATGATTTTTGTGCACAAAACAATTTCAACAGATGCAGTACAAATAACAAAATTGTCGCACTTGCAATCGAGGACGTAGAAATTAATTCGAAATAGCTTAATTCTTTCTAGCTAAACAACACCATGCAATTAAATGAACAAAAACATATCACTTAAAAGGGTATCCAACATGTCATTTTACGTTAAATAATATAGAGTAGCTTGGGAGAGTCAAGATTAATTGATTATAAGGGAAATAATATAATCTTTATAAACACATATAAAGTCACTTAATTTTTTAATATAAAAAAACACTTAACATTTTCACACACCAATTTACATGATTGGAAACATATACTTATTCATTAAGTACTTTTAAACGATTATAATTTCTTTTAGAAAAAAATATCTAAAAGAAAAATTAAAGTTTAATATATGAAAGAATAGTCAAAGTTTTACCCGATGTCGGACAAAACTCCCCCGTCCGTATGACAAATAATTGTCTGTACCCCTCACAGGCCATCAAGTGGCAACTAGGCTAGTACAAAGATACAGCATCCACTTGTTCAATAATATATATGCAAATTGATCACCCTTGTCTCTTGGATCGGTCAGTTGGCACCTGTACATATCTCCATTTCACAAGAAAAGAAACGCAACTTGTACTATATTTCGATGTACAACAGGTACTGAAATAATAGAGCATTAATATATTTTCTTTATTTTTTTTAATCAATTGTCTAATCTCTCATACATACCATGCGTCAGAATCTAATAGAAAAACTCAAAATAAAATGTGTCCTCATATTCATTATCCTATTCCTAAAATGTGTCTACGTGACTGATAATGTCATTGACATACCATGCATTAGAATCTAATAGAAAAACTCAAAATAAAATGTGTCCTCATATTCATTATCCTATTCCTAAAATGTGTCTACGTGACTGATAATGTCATTGACATGTATGGCGCCACTCCAACCGGACTATATAGTCCCATCCTTGCACTTTACGCAAACACCCAGAGAGAGAGAGAGATGGATTTCTATTGTATGGGACTATGTCTTCTCTTTTTCTTCTGGATATCAATCCAATCTTTCAATTCATTAGCAAAAAGAAGCAAATCCAATCCCAATTCCACAAGGCCTGTTCTTCCACCGGGGCCGAAGCCATTTCCCATCATTGGAAATCTCTTAGAGCTTGGAAACAAACCCCATCTCTCTCTTACTAAGCTCTCCCAAATCTATGGCCCCGTAATCACTTTGCAACTCGGCCAAGTAACAACCGTGGTCGTTTCTTCATCAACCGCGGCGAAAGAAGTTCTACGAACGCACGACCAATTGTTATGCAATCGAATGGTCCCCAGTGCTGTTCGAGCCTGCGACATGGGAGAGCACAACTTGGCCTGGATACCGGCTTCAGCCAAATGGAGAAGCCTCCGAAAAATATGCAACTCCCAATTGTTCGCAGTAACAGTTCTCGACGCAAGCAAAGCCAACCGGCACAAAAAAGTCCAGGAGCTCATAGCTGATGTCAATGCAAGTAAGGTAAAGGGCAAGGCAGTAGAGATTGGCAGGGCTGCTTTTAGTACGACACTGAATTTGTTATCGCGTACGATATTCTCTATGGATTTAGCAGATCCGAGGAGTGAGACAACTAAAGAGTTTAAGCAGACTGTGTCGGGTTTGTTGGAGGAGGCTGGGAAGCCAAACTTGGGGGACTACTTTCCTGTGCTTGGAAAACTTGACCCCCAAGGCATTCAGCGGCGGATGACTAATCACTTCCTCAAGATGGAACGACTCTTCGACCAAATCATTGCGCAAAGGTTGGAATCGAGGAAAGCTCACGATTATGTCACAAGGGATGACATGTTGGATACCCTTTTAAGCATCAGTGAAGTGAATTGTGAGGAAATGGACAAGAACAAAATGGAACACCTGTTTCTGGTTAGTCCCCCTCCCAAGCTACTCTGTATTATTTACCGTAAAATGTTCTCTACTAGTGTAGTTTCTTTCATTTATTCAACATCACAACAATATTTTCGTTCATCAGAACCATCTAATCTCACAAAATAGCTAGCTAGCATGCGCTACTAAGTATTCCAAGCCAACCCTCACTGACTAACGAGTGTCACTAGATCAAATGGTTATTGACGTTCATTATGACTAGTGGCATGTAAATTACGCTAGTGACCATTTGTTTTTGGTTGTTCATTACAATGGTGTGTTGCTATAACTTGTGAAAATATAGGTTATATTTGCTGCGGGCACAGATACAACTTCATCTACACTGGAATGGGCAATGGCTGAGCTACTACGCAACCCGAAAAAACTATCGAAAGCTCAAGAAGAGCTGGATCAAGTCATTGGCAAAGGAAAACTAGTTGAAGAATCAAGCATTGCTGGACTCCCTTACTTACAAGCAATAATCAAAGAAACCTTCCGGTTGCACCCACCAGCGCCGTTACTACTTCCTCGGAAGGCCGAAGAAGACGTGGAGATCTGCGGGTACATAGTACCAAAGGGTGCACAAGTGTTTGTCAATGCATGGGCCATAGGCAGAGACCCTAGCATTTGGGACAGTCCCAACTCATTTGAGCCGGAGAGGTTCATGGGGTCGGAAATTGATGTTTTAGGCCGGAACCTCGAGCTTATTCCTTTTGGTGGCGGGAGGAGAATATGTCCCGGGCAGCCGTTGGCAATGCGGATGTTACACTTGATGCTGGGGTCACTTATTAACTCATTTGATTGGAAGCTTGAAGATGGAGTTGTACCTGAGACCATGACATGGAGGAGAAGTTTGGGCTCACCTTACAGATGGTTCAACCTCTAAGAGCTGTTCCCAACTAAAAGATTAATATTGTTGAAACCTATGTATTACGAATGAGATGTTTTATATTTGTATTTAGATATAAGTCCTACGTCGGGTAAGAGTAAGAGTGGGGAGGTTTAAGTTATATAATTGAAACGTGTGGGATCCTACAAATAATTACCTGGATGGACTCAATGAGCGATCAAGAAGGCTCATGGCCTGGGTTAGTGACCTCCTTTGCACACTAGGACGGGTGCCTACATCATAATTTGTTCGTTGTTTTCTAATATATTATATTCAGTGAGATGGATGTGAAAGGTAAACTAAGTGTGTGGCTATCACTCCCATGTTTAAACCTAAATGATGTAAAACCAAGTTTTGAATGTCCTAATTATGTCAAACAGATTTGAGTGCTACACCAAATGTTTAACCTAACGAAAGATGTAAAACTGATCAAATGTCCTAATAACGACATTGGATTGTAATGTGAGAAAATTGAGCATCCTTAATTCTTCTCGTCTCATTTGTTTCTAACATGGGTTTGTTTGTATTTTTGTTTTTTTGTTTTGTTTTTTATTTTTATTTTTAACAAACCATATTATTTACATTATGGGGAGGAAGGTGGGTTTAACCTCACAATGGACTAGCAATAATATGATTTGAACTTGCATGGCGAAAATCAAGCCTAAGATCTCTAACTTACAAGTGAAGAAGAATACCACTACACTGTAATACTAAGTAGCTTTAACATGTGTTCATTAAAGTCTTAAAAATATGATTTCTTTGGACCTAAACCAAAAACATAGAAGTCTCTATTTTCGTTTTTTGGGCTCCAGATAGCTCTATTTTCATGGTAAATAAAAAGTGAAAGAGGTTCAAGTACATATAAAGTCACTTAGTTTTTTTGATGTCGGAAAACACTTAACATTCTCACACACCAATTGACGTGACTGGAAATACATGCTCGTTTGGCAAGTACGTTTAAACGATTGAAAGTAATTTTTGAGAAAATATCTGAAAGAAAAATCAAAGTTTAATAACTAGAAGACAAGTTGTTTTACCCTAAATATAAATAGAACCTAGCTTCTCTACCCTCCCACTTCTCATACATTCCCATTCCTTTCTATTTGTGCGGTTACGGTTAAACCATATCAACATTTTATATTGCTATTGCTTTTTGTCTTATTATCTTTATAAAAAAATTAATATAAAATATTGACGTGACTTAAGAGTGATTGCACAAAATAGGAGGGGATGAGAGTGTATGGGAAGTGGAAGGACAGATAAGCCGGGTCCATATAAATATCCCGGAGTCTGACAACACTCCACCAATGGTTGTATATACCCCTCGCGGGCCATCAAGTGTTCTCTTCATTACGGTTGGCGCCACCTGAGGCAATAACTCCCACATTTCAAACACGGTAGGAGGCAAGTCCAAAGATTCAGCATCCACTTGCTCAATAATATATGCAAATTGATCACTGTAATTACGATAAAATGGGTGGTCCTTTGCCTCTTGGATTGGTCAGTTGGCACTTGTCCATATCTCCATTTCACAAGAAAGCGTGAAGATATTTTCTTTGAAACAATAGGGCGTCAAGATAGTTTTTTTTTAAATAATAAAACGTCGAGATATTTTCTTTCTTTCTTTAATCAACTGTCTAAACTTTGATGCATACCATGCATCAGAATCTAATAGAGAGACTCAAAAATAAAATGTGACCTTCCCAATCCCTATCCCAACTCCACAAGGTTTGTTCTTCCACCGGGACCAAAACCATTTCCCATCATTGGAAATCTCCTAGAGCTTGGAAACAAACCCCATCTTTGTCTCACTAAGCTCTCCGAAATCTATGGCCCCGTAATCACTTTGCAACTCGGCCAAGTAACCACCGTGGTCGTTTCTTCATCAACCTCGGGGAACGAAGTTCTATGAACGCATGACCAATTCTTATGCAATCGAACGATCCCCTATGCAGTCCGAGCCTGCGACGTGGGAGAGCACAACTTGGCCTGGATCAAAATCAAAGCTGAAGATGAAGAAACTTCATGAAGACGAAAACCCTAGCTTTTATATTTCTCAGAAATTGTCTTTACAAAGTCGGTTGTAATGAGAGAGGGAAAAGTCTTTTATACTATACTCTGTTAAAATCAACCCTCACACTAAGCACTTGCTGATGTGGCAATTGCTTAGGTGTCTTACATATCCAATACCCCCCCCCCTCAATCTTTACTGGGAAATCCCAGTTTAAGATTGTGATAATGCTTGAGAAAAAGTAGCATTTGAACTGGAAGATGGAGCCACTATAATAGAATCCTGTACCAAATAACACCTTTGTATCCAAAAGTAAACCCCAAAAACACACACTGGCTAGTTCTTGATTGAAGTTTGTGATCATTATAGGGCCTAAGATAGGGATATATGGCTGAACCAAATACTTTCAAAGAAGATATATCACGTTTCGTATGAAAAAGCCTCTCAAAAGGTGAATCCATCCCAAGAATCTTAGTAGGCATCCTATTGATTAAAAATACTGCATGTGCAACAACATGATACCAAAACTTATGTGGTAAAAAGGCAGCTGATAACATAGTTAATGCAGTCTCCGCAATATGTCTATGTTTCCTTTCCACTAATCCATTTTGCTGTGGTGTGTAAGGACAAGAAACATAATGTACTATACCATTGGTTGCAAGATAATCCATAAATTTATTGTTCAAAAATTCACCACCACCATCATAGACTGCAAAACTTTAATTTGTGTATTAAACTGATTGACAACATAGGCAAAAAACCTTACAAATGCAGCAAAAACTTTTGATTTATTCATTAAAGGGAAAATCCATACAAATCTGGTAGCTTCGTCAACAAAAGACATGTAGTATCTGAATCCCTCAAGTGATACAACCGGTGAAGGACCCCAAACATCACTATGAATTTTGTGAAAAGGTACATCAACCCTGTCTATCTTTTCAGGAAATGAAAGTCTACTCATCTTCCCACTAAGACAATGTCTGCAAGTGTGAGTATTTACATCACTAGTAATAGGCATATTAGAATTTCTAAGCATAGCTGCTAAAATCTCATTAGATGGATGCCCCAATCTGAGATGCCACAATGCGGATTTAACAACCTTTCCCAATAGAGCAGTGGTAGAAAAAACACCTTGATTGAGCAACTTTGGAAACATGTGTATAGGTATTCTAAATAGCTCATCATTGTTACTCTTTCCTTGATAAAGAACCACCCCTGTTGCCTTCTCCTGCACAAATTGAAGATCATCACAGATGAACCAACTATTATTGTCCTTGCATAGTTGCTTCACAGAGAGTAGATTAACTTGTAACATCGGAACATGCAAAATATTTTTAAGATGCAGAGTATGAGAATTATTATGTAATGTGCCAATGCCAATATGTTTGAAAAGCAAACCTTCACCATTGCCAACCATAATCCTTTTATCTCCATCATAAGGCACCGTTGCATTCAAGATAGTGACATCGGGACTCGTATGATGTGAGGCTTATGTGTCAACTATCCATGAATGACCACCAGAAGAGGGTTGTGCAGCCAAAGCATTCATAGATGAGGACATAATGTTGCCTTGAAAACCAGAGAAATCATTAGAAGGTTGACCTTGATGAATAAAGGCTGCAGGAGATGGATAACCTGGAGGAGCACTTGGAGTATTGAATAGAGGACCTTGATAACCAAAACTTCCATGTAAAGTAGCTTGTGATGGAGTAGAAGAAAATGGCAGTGGCATGGAAAAATCTTGAGAAGCATAATTGGCGTGAAGTGATGGAGGAGGTGGAGCACCTTGATAGGCATAGTTACCCCTATGTATGCAATCAAGAGCTATATGACCCCTCTTACCACAAATTTGACATTCCTGAGATGCTTGATTGTTATCACTCCTGTATAAAAAAGTAACTGCAGTATGACCCTTCCTTAAACAAATTTGGCACTCTAAAATAACCTCTTGTCTAGTTGAAGTGTTACCAGACCAAACATTGGAAGATTTAGGACCATTAAACTTGGACTTATATCCACCATTACCTTTTCCTCTGTAGGTATTGTTCCCATATAATCTATTTCCTTGATTTCCCATATGATTCCTAGATGACTAAAAACCATTGAACTGATTAGGAGATGGCTGGTTAAAACCACCATTAGAATTGCCTAAAGCAGCGAATCCATAACCAAAATTATGTGGAATAGGAGACGAAACAGAACTAGATGCATTGATTGTTATGTGGCTCTGATACCATATTAATACCAAAGAATCAAAATCAAAGCTGAAGATGAAGAAACTTCATGAAGACGAAAACCCAAGCATTTATATTTCTCAGAAATTGTTTTTACAAAGTCGGTTGTAATGAGAGAGGGAAAAGTCCTTTATACTATACTCTGTTAAAATCAACCCTCACACTAAGCACTTGCTGATGTGGCAATTGCTTAGGTGTCTTACATATCCAATACTTTTAATACAACACTGAATTTGTTATCGCATACGATGTTCTCTATGGATTTAGCGAAATCCGAGGAGTGAGACAGCTAAAGAATTTAAGGAGATTGTGTGGGGTTTAATGGAAGAGGCCAGGAAGCCAAATTTGGGGGACTACTTTCCTGTGCTTGGAAAACTTGACCCCCAAGGCATTCAACGGCGGATGATTAATCACCTCCTCAAGATGGAACAACTCTTCGACCAAATCATTGCACAAAGGTTGGAATCGAGGAAAGCTCATGATTATGTCAAAAGGGATGACATGTTGGATACCCTTTTAAGCATCAGTGAAGTGAATTGTGAGGAAATGGACAAGAACAAAATGGAACATCTGTTTCTGGTTAGTCCCCTTCCCTAGCTACTCTATATTATTTATTGTAAAATGTTCTCTAATAGTGTAGATTCTTTCATTTATTCAACATCACAACAATATTTTTGTTCATGAAATTTGAACTCAGAACTTTCTAATCTCACAAAATAGACTAAGTATTATGAGCCAACCCTCACTGACTAACGAGGGTCACTGGAGCAAATGGTTATTGACGTCGTGTAGGAGGGTTCATTATGACTAATGGCATGTAAACTACGCCAATAACCATTTGTGTTTGGTTGTTCATTACAATGGTGTGTTGCTACAACTTGAAAATATATAGGTTATATTTGCTGCGGGCACAGATACAACTTCAGCTACACTGGAATGGGCAATGGCTGAGCTACTACGCAGCTCGAAAAAACTATTGAAATCTCAAGAAGAGCTGGATCAAGTCATTGGCAAAGGAAAACCAGCTGAAGAATCAGACATTGCTGGACTCCCT